AAAGCTGGTGTTTTTAAATATTGTAAGTTTTAAGATCGCTGTAGTTCCATCCCACCAATACTCCACACCTGCTCCGGGTAGGGTGGGGAATTCTGGGAGTTGAAGTCCACAGATCTTAAAGTTGCCAAGGTTGAGAAACACTGCCCTATAGTTTTCTATTCTGAGCATGCAGATGAATAAGAAAGGAAGAGGCACCATGCAGAGCATCAATGCATCTCTATCTATCTATCTATCTATCTATCTATCTATCTATCTATCTATCTATCTATCTATCTATCTATCTATCACATTAATATAGCCGCCCATCTCACCCAAAGCAAGTCTGGGCGGCCTATTTCCTATTTGTCTAATTTCCTCTTCGTAATGAGGCCGACCGGTGGACAGGGAAGGGCAGTCGTTCCTTGAGATGCCTCCGGCCGGCGACCGAATCTTGCTGGCTGCCGACGAATCTCACGAGCATCGTTTTGCGTCGCCAGATCTTGGGAACGCAAGCCGCTGCTCTTTGTTTGCCGCAGAATAGCGCCCCTTTTGCCTTCTCTGCCGATCGATTTTTTAGAAAATGGCCTGTTTCTTCTCCCCCTCCGCCCCCCGCTTATCACTTAGTATCCGAGCAATCTGCAATTCCACTGAATTGCTTGGGAATGTCTCCAGAGAGGGGCTTAGAAGCGGTAATCAAAGCGTCAACGCAGAGGGTAATCCAACGCCGGTGCCTTGCCTTTTGCAAAACGAGGCACCTTTGTGGCACGCTTAGCCCATTTGGAGCATCACGAGTCTGCTAATGAGCCACTTTTCCTTCTTCCAAGCGTCTCTTTCTTGGTCCGTATAATTGCTCGCCTAATTCTGCAAAACATCCTTCTGCATTTGTCAAGAACAGCACACTTGTTCACTCTGTCGCTTCTTTTCTTTTTTGGTTAGGGATCTTGGGAACAGAAGAATGGAAAGCAATCTTCCCAAAGGTAAGGGGTGCAATTCTCCATTTGCCAATCTTTTCGCCATCATTTGCCAGGGAGCGCCTGCTTTTTAGCCCCCCAGAACTTGCCTGTCTGTTGCAGAGGATTATGGGACATTCTACCCTGGCCTTCAACTCCCAGAATTCCCTGCCAGCATGGCCAAGAGGGATGGACAATCTGTCTGCCAAAGAAGTTTGTCAACCCTGTTTAGTTTAGTTTTTTTTTTTTTAATTTGTAGTCTCCCAAATTCAGCTCAAGGCCCCTGGGTTCTGAAGCATTAGGAGGCTGGTGTCAACCAGGATGACTGGCAGCCCTCAAGGGGTTGAAATTTTGGAACTGCAAACCATGATCTTCACACCTGAAGGGAGCTGAGGGGGAGAAAGCAGCAAGTTGCTTTTATCTGGCTTCTCGGCTAGGTGGGATTAACTGTGATTTCTCCCTGACTTGAGTGGATCTCAGACTTACAGGGGCATAATGTGCAAGAGAAGAACACACTTATCCTCCTGGTCTTAAGGATTAAAAATAGCACCTTAAATTACGTGCTGGAAATAACCGGCAACTAGTGCTGTTTTTTGACATGGGCATAATCGGTTTCCAGAATCAGGTGCCAGTTAGCACCTTGACTACCACGTTTTGCATCAACCACTTGGAGGCAAGGGTGCTATCACTAAATTGACTTTCTAGAAGGAGAGGTAGGAGGAAGTTCTTCCGCACAACACCTTCTCCCTAAGTCCTGAATGGGTGCAGATCCTTCTCGGTTCTGTGGAGAAGAGGGCGTGCACATCACTTGCTTGGGAGCTGGCCCAGCTGATTGACATGGTTTAAGTGTTGGCTCCTGGTATCAAAGACCCACAGACTGAATCTTCTGTGGTTGTGTCTCTGCTTGTGTTTTCAGATATTCCTCAAAGGCCATCGTCAAGGCCACGTCCGATCAAGGCACGCTGGAGATCATGCTGAAGCTACAAAACACCCTGTGTGGTGATTACACTGAAGATCAATTGTCTATGAGTGTGAAGCAAAAAGATACAAATGTCAATTCCTTTGGTAATATAGTCCTCGGATTCTTTTTATCCTAAGGTTCTTCCAGCTGAATGATATGCGGGTCCCCCTTCTTTCCATACAATAACCCTGAGAGAGTAAAATGAGAGCATCTCAGGTCAAGGTGACCCAATACACTTTGGGCCCGGAAGCAGACTTCAGACTAAAGTCTCTGGTCTTACCCCAAGGGATTCATGGGTCCCAGAATTCACACCACGAGAGGACACAGCACTGGAGGATAAAGCTTGTCTCCAGCTGTAAGGCCGGGGCATCCTATATATCACAGCAGCTAAGCTGCATTCCTAGGAATGTGTCCACAATGTTTCCGCCCCATAAAGGATATCTGGGTCTCCCTTTGTGGCCACCTTGTTTCCTTATGAGTTGCAAAGCAGCTCTTTCTGTATTTGGGATCTGCTGGTAGTGGGTCCATGGGCTCAAATTGTCTTTGACCAACATACTCTGTGAGATCTATTGGATGAGGGAAGCCATGTTAGTCCATGGTGGCCAAAAATCAGGAGTCTGGTAGCGCCTTTGTTTGTGAACCTCCAGGGAAGGGGAAGAAGTCCCTCCATTGGGTAACCCATTCCACTCATGCAGCTCTTAGTGAAATAGTTTGAGAGCGAAAGATGAGGGGATCTTCTTCCATTCTTACCCCTCTTGCCCCAAAGATCCAGAGTCATGTCCCAAACAGACCGTCCAGTCCAACTACAAAGGGATCTACACGTGGCCAAAGACGGTTCCCCCCGATGTGATGACCTTGCCCTGTGAGACCAACCAAGAGTTGAGAGCTACCCGGGCATGGTAAGTAAGGGTCCCATGGTAAGCACCAGCTCCCATTCCTTACCCCCACCCCACCCCACCCCACCCCACCCCAGCATCGTACCTCATATGGTTTTCAGCAGGCCCAGTTTTCCAAAGTTGGCCAAGCTCCAACCAGGAAAAGATCTCCATAGGGCCGGCCATCATATCAAATCCAGAAGATGACTGTCCAGCTCCTGGGATATATGACCCTCCCTAATTCTTGCTCCATGGGTCTTTCTCTCCTGTGATGATAGTTCTTTCAGGCAATTCTTGTTTCCAGATGCTGCTGAATGCTTGGGTTTCAAAGTTGTCATGCTGATAATTTTCCTTGCGTGTGGCTAGCAGGGGCAAGCGGACACTGCTTATCTCCACAAGGGAAATGAAGGCCATGGTGGTTCTTCTGTGGCTCTGAAGTTGACTACAGTGGGCTGTTTGCTAAGACGGGATGGTGAAATTTATTAGAGCCCAGCCAAGCATGATGAAGGGGGTGAGACTAAAGGTTGCAGCCACATTCGATGTGAAAGAAGGCAGGGAAGTTGATTCAAACCTGTGCATATTTGCTGGCAAAAAAATGGGGGAAGATTGAGATAGGAGCCACTGAAAGAAAAAAAAGCCACATGGAAGCTTCTGGTCATGATGGACAGACTCTTGACATTACTCCATCCTGAATGGGAGGCAGGTGCCATCTTTTTGATGTGGGGCAGCCCTATATTCAAGGAAAGTTTAGCCAGCCAAAATGAAAAGCAAAGGGCAAGTCAAGAAAATGAATGAAAGAATGACTGCTACGCTTCCAATGCCACTTAACTTCTCTCTTTTATTTTAAAGCTTGATTAGCATTAAGACTGAAAAAGCCTACTGGAGGAGGCAGAATGTGACTGCGTGCCCTCTGTTGCAAGGGCTGCCAAATAATATAATGGATCTTAAAAATGTCACCATCACAGAGGGTAAGCTCCTGGGGTGGATTTGTTTTCATGCCGAAGGATGCTAAAGCCACTCTTGATTTGTCCAGATGGAGACCCACTACTTTTCTTCTATAGCTACACCTAATGAAATTCTTGAGAGCCAGTTTGGTGTAGTGGTGAAGGCACCAGACTAGAAACTGGGAGGTGGTGAGTTCTGGTCCTGCCTTAGGGACAAAGCCAGCTGGGTGACCTTGGGCCAGTCCCTCTGTCTCAGCCCTAAGAAGGAGGCAATGGCAAACCACTTCTGAAAAACCTTGCCAAGAAAACTGAAGGGACTTGTCCAGCAGTCTCCAAGAATCGGACACGATTGAACAGATTAAAAACAAAATGAAGTTCTAGTTCTGTCCTCTTTCTCACAGGTCCTTCCTTGTAAGCTGTTGTGGTGGTGGGGAGGGAATAAAAGAATGGTAGTGTGGTCTAGACTCAGTCTGCAAGGGGGAAATTGCGTGTTTGAATGTCCTGCACATGGAAACACAGTCTCCCTGAAAGTAAGAAAAAAAACCCTACCACCTTTCTCCATGAGGTGCTAGCCTTCTGCTTGCAAAGAGGCCCACAATGCAAAACGCAGAACACTTGTGAGCAGTGCAGCAGCTTCTGGCAATGACTGAGTTCTCTGTCAACACGAACTTCCCCGTTTGCTCTGTTGCAGAAAATGCTGAAGAAGTGGCAGATCACATTTTATCTCTCTTAAGTGTTTCCGATCCGAGTAAAGACGAAATCGAGGTCCTGATGAGCAAGCTCACGGATATCGCCAACTGTGAAGAAATCAGCCTGACCCTTGCTAGGAAGGTGCTGCAAATTATAAATATCTTTATGGAAGATAAAATCAAGCTGCAGGACGTGCAAGTGGTGCTCAACAAGTAAGGAAATGAACATGGTCACCTACTTAGCGGAAGATCAATTCACTTCCACTTCTGAGAATCAGAGTTTGGAGGGGGGCCTTGGAGAACATCTAGTCTGTCCAGTCTACATGATGAAAGAAAGCTGCCCCGATAGAGAACTCCTCAGTCTTTTATTTAGAA